GGTTGCAGTGGCACATGCCTATAGCATAGGGTGACCAGATTTTAACATCAGTAAGGCAGGACAACATGGGGGGGGGGCGGTGGGCAGGTCAGGGGACAGGGCAGGGCAGGGCCTGACAACAATGCAAACTTTGATAAGCAGTTCTCGATAATCACTTCTCAGCAATTATTTGTTATTACAGTTTAACATTATAAAATTAACAAAAATAATATAAAACTCATATTCTGGTGAAATAGCCACATGGTAGCCGAAAACCGTATATTCCCTTCTTATTCTCCCACCCGTTCGTGCATTCTTTCCAAAAATCGGGACTTTTTTAAAACGTCACAGGACAAGGGACAAATTGTTGAAAAGTGGGGCTGTCTCGCCAAAAGCGGGACGTCTGGTCACCCTACTATAGCACCAACTACTCAGACGCAGGAGGCTGAGTTTGGAGGACTGTGTGAGCCCCGTATTTTGAGGTTTCTACATACAGTGAGCAGTGATCTTACCATTGCACTCTAGCCTAGGTGACAGAGTGAGACCTACCCTCTAAAAGTAATAATAGTCTCGGCGCCTGTAGCTCAAGTGGCTAGGGCGCCAGCTACATATACTGGAACTGGCGGGTTTGAATCTAGCCCAGGCCTGCCAAACAACAATGACAACTACAACCTAAAAATAGCCAGGTATTGTGGTGGACATGTGTAGTTTCAGCTAGTCAGGAGGCTGAGGCAAGAGAATTGCTTAAGACCAAGAGTTTGAGGTTGCTGTGAGCTGTGATGCCACAGCACTCTACCTAGGGCTACAGCTTGAGACTGTCTTAAAAATAAGTAAATAAATAAATAATAAATAAAATAAAAGTAATAATATTTCATAAATGATTCCAAGTTCCTTCTAGGTCTCTTGTGTATCTCACAAGGTTGTAAAGATTACATAAAATGATTGAAGCAAAAGGGCTTTGCAAACTGCCAACTGCTGTAGCAATCTGAGGAACAACTATTGATCCTGGGTACAAACAGCCAGGTGGCGTTAAACACTTGTATTCTCCTTATTAAGGAGTTTACTTCCAACAGCACTTCATCTACAAACAAAAACTATGCAACAAAATATCAATTTCTTACCTATTTATTAAAAAAAACTATGAAGAGAATAGCTGCTTCCACCCCCAATATGCTGGTCAGAATTAACTAACTATTCACTGATCTTTGAATCTAAATGGATCTAAACTTTACTCTTGGAAAAGGATTTTGTGAAAGGTTTTAGCAGCCAACACAAGGATAACTGAAGATATATAAAGAGCAGCATGGACCTGATTCCGGGAATGTCCTATGTATGATATCTAATTTCAAGACAGTAACATTTTTGAAACTTATCACAGAAGAGAAAAATAAAGAAATAAAAGTAAGTACCTTTACTTCCTCCACATTTCTTAGCCTCTCACACCTCAGCGGCTTGCTCTCTCTGAACCATGGGCTTTGCGCTCAGGAATTCTTTTCCAGAGTGCAGTGCAGGACTGATACAGGAAGTGCACAAGTAACTGTGTTAGAGTCTTAGCTAATAGCTGGGGACAGGCGGACTAGGTGTCCAACTAAACAGCACCTGGTTAGACTATGCACATGAGGTCAGGCCTGAGACCAAGTACTATCACTTCACCAGCCACTCAGACTCAAAGACAGCTTTGTGAGTGTGTTACTGCTACTGAAGGCTCCCTAAGAACAGCTCAATAATAATATCTGTATCCCCAGAGTGTGACTCAGGCCTGGCACCCAACAGGCACTCATAAATGCCTATTAGAGAAAATACTAAGTATAATTATTTATATATGGCCCCCTACAGCTGTTGAGAGCGTTATTTTATGAGTGGGGAAAAATGAGGTCCAAAGAGACTAAAGGTTGAAGCTAGTTAGAGAATGAGGTCTTCAATGCTGCCCCCCCCCCCAGAGCAGGGCTATATCCTATGCCCCAAACCCTACTTTCCACTGCTCCCCACAGCCACCTCTGCTCCACTCAGACTGGAGCTCACAGATGTGCTGATCCCCTCTGCCAGGAATCCTCTTCTCTGCCTATGGAGTTCCCATTCCTCCTTCAGGAACAGCCCTCAGACACATAGAAGCCAGTTCTTGACACCCCAGCCTCTTCTGAATGCTTTCAAACTCTTTCAGCACTTAAAATCTGCACTACTGCTCCTACATATTCTTCTTAGCAAAGTATCTCAAGGATGGAAGAAAAAGTATCCAATGTACTCAGCCCTACTATGAAACTAATTTATAGCTTTCATATGAAAGCTATAACCCAGTTATAGCCCAAGAATATGGGGAAAGGGGAAAGGGAGGGGAGGGGAGTGGGGAGGATGGGTGGAGGGAGGGTAATTGGTGGGACCACACCAACGGAGCATCTGACAAGAGTACATGTGAAACTTACTAAGTGTAGAATATAAATGTCTTAACACAATAACTAAGATAATGCCATGAACGCTATGTTAACCAGTTTGATGAAAATCAAATTGTATATAAAACCAGCACATTGTACCCCATAACTGCATTAATGTACACAGCTATGATTTAATAAAAAAAAAAATCTGCACTACTCATTGTGCTTCATGTATCTCTATTTCCTCTCCTGAAATCATCAACTCCTTGAGGACAGGGATAGGCCTCTTACCAGATGAGCAGTTATTTCATCACTCCCTTGACTCAGTTTCCTCATCTCTAAAGTGGGAAGGACAATAAAATTTATTCACAGAAAAAGGAAATGATGGCTGTAGAACTGCTTTGTGCAAGCTATAACTACAGTTTTTAATCATTAGCTTTGTTGCCCACTAACCAATAGTAACAACACTAAATGTCATCAAAATCACTTTTACACCTTGTCAAAACAGTACAGAATATACACTGAACCTCATTCCAATAATCATTTATCTGAACTGATATGAACTTACTGAGGCCTTGCTTGGACATTGGCTACCCGGCAATGGGGAACCCTCACCATCTTTGGATCAAGTGTCTTTTATGAGCAATAGTGGACACTAGGGTCTGGAAGGGATTTTTCCTGCACAGGTCACAGATGGGCCAGTTGTCTCACATATCCTCCCTAGATACAATATAAAATCCAACCCTAAACTTAATTATTCTGTTACTATCACTGACAAATACAATTTACTGAGTTTCTACTATGTTCCAGATACTAAGCTATTTTACATACATCATCTCATTTAAACCACACTACTCTGTGAATATGCATCTGTGTTTCTGAGTGTGTGTGTGTCTCAGAAGACAGACAAACTAAGGCTCAGAAGAGGTACACAATTTTCTGGAATCACACAACCAAGAATGAGCAACTCAGGTCTTCCTGACAGAAGTATCATGCTCTTTCACTTGCATATGTTCCTGCAACCCTTATATTTTAAAGTCCCCTTTGACTTCTACCCTTCGTCAACTACCCTGTTATTTTTCTAAGTGTGGAGCTTCCTATTACAAAGGGAATACAAAAGAAAATAACACACACACCCCAAATGTACTAGCTCCCTCTGTTAACTGAGAATTCAATACTCAGCTGAAAAATGCATTTTTGGAACATAGTTAGAGTGAAAGAGCACCTAAGGAAAGTAGGAAAGGAAATAATGAAGAAAGGAGGTAAAAATCCAGACAGACACCTGAGTGAGCAGCAGGGGACAAAATGTCACAAAGGCAGGAAAAAAAGGCCTCTTTTGGGGCCCAGTGCCCGTTATCCCTTATAAAAGATACTATACCAAGAAGAAAAAAGGGGGCTCCTAAATGCCAGTTAGCCAACAGGAGAGACCTCAATAATTTTTGCAGGCCACACTAATGGCTGAATAGTAATCTGGAAATTCACAAGCAAATCGGGGTATAAATCGCTGCTGCCTAAACCAGTCAGGCCTATAACAACACCAAAGGACCCTGCTTATAAAAGATGTTTTACCAGTCCTTCAACCAACCATGAGGAACCTGGTTTTTAAAGGAACTAATCAGCATTCTTAACTTATCACTTGACATAAGCCACTGCCTGAGGTGAAAAGGCAAGTTGCTCTTTTAGTAAGGAAATCTCCTAAGGTGGCCACTTCAATGCTCCCTCACTCATACTGCAGGCTTTCCCTATTCAGGATGCTGGTTGTCTCTGGTACTCCCGGTTGCCCAGTCCCTTCTCAAGGATTCGCAGATACTGCTGGGTACCACTCAAATTTAATACTCTGGGTGGGGTTGCAGCAGTTAATGTACAGAGACAACCACGGGGAATATCAAAACTTGAGAATTTGAAGGGACCTACCACATCTCACCTCCAAACACCTCGTTTGACCCATAGGAGAGAACTTTAAACCAGAAAAAGCACAAGGTCATGGGACAGTCACTGACAAAGTCACTCCTGGAGTCCAGGTTTCCTGATTCCCAGTCCACAGCTCTTATCATTAAAGAACACAGCCTCCCTTCTTTTCTGGGAGGCATCGCAGGCATGCTATCCCCCTGCCAAGATAATCACCCTTGAAGAGCCCCTCCTCCCACTCCAGTCCCTCCTACAGCCTGAGTTGCAGCTCAAATTAGCAAGTCCTGGAGCAGGGGGCATTTTCTGGGAGGGTGCTCAGTCTGAGGGCTGTTGGTACTGAAGACCGACAAGAATGGAGGGAGAAAGAGGTGACATCCCACAAAGTGTCTGGGAAACCTGGGTCCTGGGGGCCATGGTAGTGAAACTGCCAGGTTCAATAAAGGCACAAGAGGTAGCATCTCCCAATAGGCAAGGGGTAAGCAGATTAGCAGCTGGCACCACCTCAAGGAGACACAAGAAGGGCTGGTCCCTGATGGGTCGGTAAGGTCAGCGCATCTCTGAGTTCAAGTTGGGCCTCAGGGGCGCCTCCTGGCAGGATGGCACCGATGCGAGGGCAGAGGACCTATGACACGGATGCCTGGCCCGCCCGTGAGGTGGCACCGGCGCCCAGCAGAGGCCCACAGTCCTCACCAGCCCTGTCAGCTGCCGCTGTGGCCCAGCCGCCCGCCCCACGCACGGCCTTACCAAGGCACTGCCCCACTGGGGTGCTGAACGGGTTCCCCAGGAGGAACTCCATCTTGGGCTGACAACACGCAGCAGCCCAGGTCCCCTGTCTGGTGCCTCGGTCTTCGCTGTCCCCAGCCGCGCTCCAGACCTGACTGACACTTGCCCTGGCCCCACCCTCGGGAAAGAGAGCGCCGGGCCTTGAACCCACCCCCTTGTCGCGTCTCTATTGGGCAGCACCTGCACAGAACTCCTGAAATTGGCCTTTCCCTCAGCAAAGCCCCACCCACCCGCAGCATCCGATTGGGCCGAGGAGAGAGATAGGTCATCGGAGTCCCTGTCAGGTGTAGCGGCACCTCCCCTAGCCCGCCTCCAAAGGCCAGAGTCTGTATTTGGATCTGTCTATATATTGGTCAGCCTGGAGGATCCTTACTATTATTGGACAAAAAGGAGAGTCAATCATTCAAACAGGGAGGTGGAGAACAGAAGGATGTCGGAAGGTCCCCGCCCATAGAAAGTGCTGATTGGATAAACCTTTGTTTTCCCCACGGCTCGCTGGTGGTGAGAGGGTTTCCCCGCCCAGAGGCGTGGTCACGTGACCCGTCAACTTTCACCCAGGATGTCTGCCTCCAGACTTCCCCTTAGCAACCGAGCGGCGGCGCTTGGTTCCCCAGCAACCCGGTGACGGGTTTGCGGCGTGGAACCAGCCGGGCAGCCAGAGGGGGAGAAGGTGAGAGCTGAGGTTCCACAGGACTCGCAGGGGCGGGCAGTGCCCGACTTTTTCTCTGAGGAACCCTTCCCCTTTGCAAAATGCCAGCCACTTTATAGTCGCACAGAGGAAAGAAGCTAAGACACTTTAGGCCTGAGTTTTTTGGACCTTCAGATGAGAAAGAAATGCTAAGGGAGTATCTGCTCAGGGAGCAGGCCCGGAAAGTGTTTTGATCCAGGACTTAGCCATTATATCCAGCCTCTCTCAACTGTCCTTAACTCCTTTCATCTTGGTGCCGTAGTAAGTGCTTTGGCCATGAACACGTATCCTCGGGTTCCATCTGTCTCTGTGGGTAGTAACTCACCGTATGACTTTAAGCAAGCTCCTTCCTCTCCAGGAGGCCTCAAGTTCCCTATGTGGGAATTAAGGGCCTTTGGACTCCCTTGTTTAATGGCCTCCAGGGCTGACATGTGTAATAAATAATGCATTTGCTCTGAGTATACAGTAAGCATTCAGTAACTGGTTGATTTATTTCTTATTAATTCATGGGCAATAGGGACTATATTTTTCAGACTCAGCTGACCTCAGGATGTTGTTTCCCAGGAAAATTCTGGATCTGTTTCTGTGTGAGGAGGCTGCTCCGTTGACAGTTGTGTAAAACTGCTGCTTCCCCTACCTCCTACCTCTGGTCTTCATCAACAACACTGTTGCCAGGCAAGTCAATGGGAATCCAGGTTGGGGGAGTAAATTACCTATAAAGTCCACATCAGGAGGACTGTTTGGGCCTTGGTCCTGGCCCAGAACATCTAGAGAAACATTGAGCTGTGACAATGATAGTCCCTAGTAGCCTGAGGAAAGTTGAGTTATGATTAGGAAAATGGGCTCTGCCATATACTAGGTGTGTAAACTTTGCATGTTAATTAACCTTTCTGACTGGCTTCTGTTTTCTTACCTGGAAACTGGGGATCATTAGTCCTACGTATAAATTAAGTTCCTAGAGCTCTCTTATCCCCACATCTTACCACCACCCTGGGGATCTCTCATCTCATTACTCTTGCATTTCTCAGTACTACAGCTGGAGTGAGGTGGGGTTGGTTGGTTTGTTTGTTTCAGACAGAGTCTTGCTCTGTCATTCTGGGTAGAGTAAATGTTATTGTAGCTCACAGCAACCTCAAACTCCTGGGCTCTAGCAATCCTCCTGCCTCACCCTCTCCAGGAGGTGGGACTACAGGCGTCCATCATGACCCCTAGATAATTTATTTTTCTATTTTTAGTAGAGATGAGGTATCACACTTACTCAGGCTGTTCTTGAACTCCTGAGCTCAAATGATCCTTGGGTATCAGCCTCCCAGAGTGCTAGCATTATAGACATAAGCCTCCACCCCCAGCCTAGAGTGAGCTTCTTAAAGTTGAAACCTGATCGTGTCACTACCCTTATTAAATCCGAGGAGCTTTCCAGGAATCCTAGGATAATAATAAAACCTTGCAGACCTCTCCAACCTTGCATCTCAGCCAAAGTGGAACATGTCTGTTCTTTCCCACCACAGGGCCCATGTATGATAGTTCCCTCCTCCTTCTTTCCTACTCATCCTTGAGATCAACCCTGTCTCCTCTAACCAGGCCAGATGTCCGTAATTATGCTTTCACAGTTCCCTACAAACTTCTCATGATTTATAATAAAATATCTGTATGATTGTTTGATTCATGTCTGAAACAGAGGTAAGGAGATGTATTTTTTATTCACAGCACATAGTAGTTCTTCAGTACGTGTGTGTAGACTAAATACATCATCTTCTGCAAATGTAGAAGGGAAGAATTATCCACTTTTTACCGATGGGAAAACCAAGACTTAGGTGAAGTGAATTGCCAAAAGTTGCAGTCAGAATCCAAATCCTGCCCTATCCCACTTAGCAAATCTTGTCTTAACAATAATATCACGTTCTTAACTAAAATCAAGCTTGATCTGTCACAGGTACCTGGCCTTGATGGCAATTGGGATGGATGAGAAGTCAGTTCAAGTTTTGAAATCAGAATTAAGAGTCATCTATAAACCAGGTGTGATATTCATGCCTGTAATCCCAGCACTCTGGGAGGCCAAGGCAGGAGGATCCCTTCAGCTCAGGAGTTCAACACCACCCTACGCAAGAGTGAGACCCCTTACTTAAAATGAAAAAAAAGTATTCAGGGAGTGTGGTGCCTGTAATCTCAGCTACTTGGGAAGCTGAGGCAGGAGGATTGCTTGAACCCAGGAATTTGAGGTTGTTGTGAGCGAGGCTGATGCCATGGCATTCTAGCCTAGTAACAGAGCAAGACTCTGTTTCACAAAAAAAGAGTCAAACTATAACACCATTTTGGAGAAAAGGCCTCAACACTTTGCAGATAACATGTGTGGATACAGTTCACTAAAATTTCCCCGAAGGTGAGTTGATGGCAAGTTCCTTAGGGAAAACTGTTTCAGAAGAATGGGGAGGTAGAAAGAGGCTAAGGGCTGGAACTATCTTTGGAAGTTGGATCAATCACCCAAAAGAGGTGGAAACACTATGGACATATTGGAGAGAGTGGAAGAAAAGGGCCGAGTTCTTGGACGATGGAAGCCCAGTTAGAGAAGGGTTAGGGGTTTGAGAGGCACGGAGGCTGTGTCTCCATGATTAAGAAGAGAAGACACGTATTTGCACAAATTTTATCACAGTGGACTGTGGGGAAGGAAGGAGTCTTAGAGGGACATCTCTAAGACCATGTATCAGAATTATTAGAGTTTAATACAATGCAAAGTAGGGCACAGGAGCTGTCCAGCTTCAGGTTGGAGGGGACAGGAGGTTCTGAGAGGCCTGGACATTGGGGAGGCATGTGAGTAAATATAAAAGGTGAGGCTGGCAGGGAGTTAAGGAGCAGAGGTGGAAAACAGAAAGACTGCATTTCTAGAGGACGCAGAGGGCAGAATGCCAGTAGACTGACAGAAGGGTATGGTTTCCTGCAGGTCCAGCCCTTCTGGATGCCTTCACAAGAGGGTTGGCAATGATAAGAATGAGGGCCAGCCAGAGATCAGGCTCAGGGTCAGCCCAGGTTCAGCCTCACAGGGTGACGACCAAATCCACAGATGCCCCCATGCCTACAGCGTCTCAGCCAAGGCCCTTTGGACCATTACCAATAGAAACCTACCAAAGTTAGCTTAAGCAGAATAGGATCTAATATGCAAAACCAGGGAACTCTCACAGGGCCTGGCCACAGGCCAACAAGGAGGAGACAGCCTCTGTGTGCCAGTCTGTTTGTCCTTGGTCTTCTGCTGTCTGGATTACCTGGGTTCCCATCTCTGCTCTTCTCTGTGCATCTGCCTCTACCCCCTGTAGCTCTCTGGGCTTGGTCCCATACCTGGCCAGCCCATGCTCTTGAGTTCTCCCCCAGTGCAAACAGCCAGTTCTGATAGGACACTTACCCCACAGCCTCCAATTTACATTTCCCAGGGGAGGACATGAATGGGCAGCTTGGGTCAGTGCCTCCCTATACACTGGGGTTAGCTATGGCCTGCGGGAGCAGTACACATGTGACTACATGTGTAGAAGAAAGGGGAACTCAGGGAAGGGGAGCTGCAGGCTGGCATGCTGGCTAGGGCTACCAAGGGAGCAGGGTCAGAGGTTGGCACCACCAAGCCTGAATGAAGATGGGCAACAAAGTCAGACCTGATGCAGAGCCCCAGCCTTAGGGCAGCAGAGCTCCCCAGGCTAAGGAGACCAGTACGGACACCAGTCCAGTGGGCCCAGGTAGGGTTTGTGGGTAATGAACCCCTGTGGATAGGCTCAGATGGTTGTTGGGAAGCCCTGGAACAACCTTGGTTCATCCGTGTGAAGGTCCCTACAAAAGTTTTGAGACAGACCATGTTATCATCTAGTATTATTTCACTTTCAAGAAGTATGTGTACAGTTAACAACAATGTTCTTTTTCTTTCTTTCTTTCTTTTTCTTTTCTTTTCTTTTTTTTTTTTTTTTGAGACATAGTCTTACTGAGTTGCCCTGGGTAGAGTGTTGTGAAGTCATAAATCACAACAACCTCAAACTCTTGGGCTCAAGAGATCCTTTTGCCTTAGCTTCCTGAGTAGCTGGGACTACAGGTGCCCACCACAACTCCCAGATAGTTTTTCTATTTTTAGTGGAAAAGGGTCTCACCCTTGCTCAGGATGGTTCCAAACTCCTGATCTCAAACAATCCTCCCACCTCAGCCTCCCAGAGTGCTGAGATTATAGGTGTGAGCCACCCTGTCCAACCAGCAGTGTCCTTTCTGATTCACCCATGCAAGTTTCAACTTGCTGCTGGGAGGCTTCATTTGTTACCGTCCATGCAACACTGAGGCAGCATCAGTTATGAAGCTGGCAAGAGAGCATTTTACGTGATGATTTTCTATGATTTTAAAAGTGATTTAAAGGAGTCTCAAAGCTTTGAGGATTTGCAGTGGGCATTTGGAGACCTTACTTCTTGCTGTTCAACAACTTTTTGGTGATTTCATGAATTTAGAAGAGGACAAATTCTACTGAAAGACAAGGACATTGAGTGGGCACCCAGTGACTGCAGTGACTGAGAACACTGCTGCTTTAGAGAAGTGGTTCCCAAGAACAATCTAGTGATAGACCACCGTGACTGAGGAGAGCACTGCTGTTTCAGAAAAGTGGTTCCCAAGAACAATCCAGCGACATTTAAGGACATTGAACGGCACTACAGATCGGAACACCAGCGGTATCCAAAATCCTGCATGATTATCTTCGAGTCAAAAGTTTCAATCCGATTGGTGCCTCACACTTTGACCCATGAGCAAAAGTGCATCTGTGTTGAATGGTGTGAAGAAATGCTGCTCAGTTTCCGTGGAGGTAGGTCTAGATGCATTTCTGACGTTGTTACTGGTGATGAAACCTGGATTTACCAATTTGATCCAGAGAATAGGTGTCAGTTGACAATGTAGATTTTTTTCCCAATGAAAATCTACCCACAAGCTTGGTGCCTGTAGCTCAGTGGTTACAGTGCCAGCTGCATAGACCGAGTCTAGTGGGTTCAAACCCAGTCCGGACTTGCTAAACAATAAGGACAACTGCAACAAAAAAATAGCCAGGTGTTGTGGTAAGTGCCAGTTAGTCCCAGCTACTTGGGAGGCTGAGGCAAGAGAATTGCTTAAGCCCAAGAGTTTGAGGTTGCTGTGAGCTATGATGCATGACACTCTACCAAAGGCGATATAATAAGATTCTGTCTCAAAAAAAATAAAAAAAAATTCACCAACAAAAGTAAAGTGGCCCCTAAATATCAGAAAGAAATTGTTAGCAACTTTATTCTCCAAAAGCAGTCATGTCCTCTCCTTTCAGGAACAAAGGACTATCACCGCTCAGTGGCACATAGCAGTATGCCTACCAGAAGCTTCAAGAACAGGGGCCAAGGCTCAGCGCCTATAGCTCAAGCGGCTAAGGCGCCAGCCATATACACCAGAGCTGGTGGGTTCAAATCCAGCCCGTGCCTACCAAACAACAATGACGACTACAACAACAACAACAACAAAAAAA